TAAGATTGCAGCAAATAAATTAGATATTATTAAAGGCATTTCAACTACGAGGTGAATGTTTGGTTTTGTATTTCAACCCTCTGGGTGCCGGTGAATTGAAAATGAAAGCCCATTTGTAAGTATGTCGGATTCGAATGGAGGGCCTCTGGATTCGATCCCAGGGTCTTTATCTTGCAATGATGAGTCGCCGTGTTAACGCCTTAACCGTTTTGACTACTGACGCCCTAATAAATGATTATTTAATTAAACAGTTAAATAGATAAATAAATAGTTACAACATAAAACAACAACATATCCATTACAATATTTTTTCTGTTTTTATTTTTATAATATAATATATAAAGTGGTTCCAAGAAAATCCGCAAAAACACAACACACAATCAATAATTGAATCCTATTATTAATCAGTTTCTATATTTTAAAGCTTTCATGACAAATGGAAGTAGGCTATACCAATTTTTTGAATTTAGATATGTCACAGATTCCTTGAGTATTTGAGCAGGGGAGGAAAAAGCGGGACATTTTTCATAGACATTGTTTGCTAATTTTGAATGGAATTCTGAACAGAACGCTATATTTATGTCATTGAAGTTAGTTTTTCGTCGCTGAAAAAATGTTTTTGTGAGAAAAGTTGATTATGGCTAGAATCTGGCCCTGAGCACTGCAGCTTTATAGCCTTAGTACTGCTTCTGTGTTCCATGTTTGGGAGCTTGCAACATGTGTGACTTGAGCCCCCCGGTATGAAGTTCATTGTTGCTGAAATTATCCTGCCCCGGACCTTCCTTTGATGAGTGTCATTTCAACTTTCATTGCGGCCACCGCTCCCCATCAGAAAAATCCAGAGGCGACAGTGGGATCGAACCCAGGACCGTGGGATCTACTAGCCGAGAGTCTGACGCGGACTCGGTTACCGTGGTCCCTTATTCATTTATGTATAACTTTGATTTGGTAAATACAAGGCCAATTAGGTCAAGTATAGTAGTTTTTGAACCCCCGTCCTGTCCAAGACAAACTTTGCCGTTAGTTAATAAAAGTTAGTATGAAAGCATCCCTCATTAGTGAACCAACTGCATATGTCTCGAACGAGAGTGAATGACATAATGCTGTAAGGAGGATTTGACATAACCACGTTTTCATATAACTTGATAACCCTTTTCATTTCTCTATAAAAGACCAGTATTAGAGAAGTTGCTGCTCAAATTTTCAAAACATAGGTTGTAATATTATAAAATTTATTCCTCGTTGGGTCCCTTACAAATTAATGGTAAGCACCTAGATTTACAAAGAATAATTGTAAAACTCGATAAAATTAGAATCATAATTGTTACTTTTTTTGTAATTATTTGGAAACATAATATGCTTCATTTTTAACAACTGTCTGTTTTATTCGATTGTTTATTGTACTCTTTCGTTCCCAATTCTGATGAAAACGTGCAGGTTCGTTTTTCCACGAGGGAAGTTATATAACTTGCTCACCACATCACTCATGTCGCATCTGTTAATCATATTTCAGTTTCTCGATTGAATTAAAATAGGCTCACACACGAATAAATCTCACAATATTATGGTTGTTTAAGTGTTCACAGTGTGGCAAAAAATTAAATAAGACTAATTCACCACTTCGAATCTGGAGGAAATTTCCAATTATTAGGAAGTTATTACCAATTTACCAATGGGCATTGAGCGTGAACGAGAGCCTCTCGACTTCTTTCTGCGGAGCCAATAACGTTTAAGGTTCATATAAAAAAATTCAGTATCATATACAAACATGACGTGATAATGCCTCAGTTTTATTCGAGCTGTTTCACTTTTGAGGTCTTAAAACTTTCACAACATTACGCCATGAAGTTCTCGTACCTCATAAAATGTTTTTTTAAAAATATATTTTTTTAATTTATTCATTTTTATTTCATTTTTGCAAGTATCCAAAGTTATTTTATAAAGTTTAAGTAAGATTTTCTTGGTTTTGTAAGCACTGACAGATATGACGCTTACAAAAACGTTGCATTAAACTTAATTAAGTATAATTATTTTAAAATTAACGTTTGGTTTCTAAAAATTTGATTGTTTGGTTACAAACGGTTCAAAAGAATTAGTCATTAAGGTTTTTAACAACTTCTATCAAAAAAATAATGAAAGTACGAAAAAATAAACAAAAAAATACTCTGCACAAAATTGAACAGATGAAAAATGAAAAAGCTTCTAAAAATGATGGATTTCTCCAAAAGGTGGACATTTTGAACATATAATTTTTCCCTAGCTCTTGGTTTTACCAAGGTAACAATTTAAAAAACTGATCACTCAGGTAGGTTTTTAATCCATTTCCTATTGGTGTAATCTAATTTACTGGTAGATAAACATTTTCTGAGTTAAGGGGGACTTTATGAAAAATGCTTTAAAAAATTGAGGTGACATGAAAAGTTAAAATCTAGATTACAATTGAGAATCGAGCATAAGATAATAACAAATTTTTAGTCTGATTTGACAAGTAGGAAAACCTCCTGTAGTATTGACGACTGTTCACAGGACACCTTTATATGTCCTGTTTAATATTAACGAAAAATCGCTGTAATTTTCAGACATTGAAATACTTAAGAAACTTTCTGAAACTTCTTACTTAACTGAAACTTCCTTTATGTGAAGAATAAAAACGTTACAAAACATCTAGTTTTTTATCGCTAATATAATATTGTATTATTTATAAGTAGAAACATTTTAAAAGAGGTAGCTGTATTATTCAATAAATCTTTGACCTTTAGGTACATATTTGTTATTGTCCTCGCCCTTCCACCTATTTATAAACCTGAAATAATAATTGTTTCTTATTTTACTCCGGTTAAATTAAACAAAGACCTTGTTATTCGAGCCACGTTTAATAACCCTAATTAAAAGCTACTTTCAAGAAATAACAACACAATAAAAAAAACATTGGTAAGGCGCTTTTCCTGTAATTTAATAATTGTTTTTCCAACATTTTCCTTGGAATAAGAAACTAAATGAAACAAACCACCATCCCATTTGTCTTGATCGTGCCCAGGTGACATTACCAAAAACGAAATATTACAAAATTATACCCCATAATTCGTGTATATGAAAAAATTTACAGGTGATATTTTCGCAATAATAATGCGGCAGTTTGTTAAGGCGTTCGACTCGTATTTGCTACGCTAAAGGTGCCGGGTTCGAATCCCAGCACAGCAGAATTTATTTATCATTAATTTGGAAGAACATATAGTATAGTTTAACCCATCGTCAGCAGATTGTTTGTTAATTTACTGTAAGATAAATATTTTATGATGTAAGAGAGACGTTACGTAACGATGTTGCGAAAAGTTGAGGTAAAATTAAAAGTTAAAGTCAATAAAGATCGAAACGTTGGCACCATAAAGAACATGGTTTTCTAACCTATATCACACCCGACCGCACTCACGATCTTTAAATAATCATTAATTAGCGGTCACTAATTATTACACATTAAAAGTTAGATATCTAGATTATAGTTGGGAATCAGACATTGGACAATAAGAACTATTTAGTCAAATTTGACATGTAGATAACCTCTTTAAGTACTGATTTCTTTTCACGTGACACCCTGTATATTCATATAATAAATCGCAGTGCTTGAAAACAATAAATTCTATATTAAAAAATTGTTTGACATTTATTTAATACTCGATTTTGGTGCTTTCTTTTTACCGGGAATGCTTGACCGTAGGCCGATAAATAATCGATATTTTTTCATTCAGCTAGTTAACCCTTTAAAAGTCATGTAACTTATGCGCCAAACGCCTATAAGGAACGTGTTTATGCAATTGAATTTCAGCATAGTGTCGACCTCATAGCTGTTATTCGCTGAGCACTCAGGTTTATTTGACCAAAGGAAGAATTCCAAACGTTGCTAGTTTTGTGTGTAAGCAGAGAAAAACGAGATTAAAAATTTGGATAAACGATTGTACCGCTGGACCCAACGTTTTCCTTTAGTTGTAAGCAAATTTATTTGATTCTGCCCTAACAAACTGTTTGGATTGAATTTTTCTACATGTTATTGGATGTCATTTCTTCCAAATTTGACATTATCGTTTGTGTGCAATCGTGTCTGAACATGAAATGTAAATTTTATAAATAATTATAATTATGCGGATGGGTACTTCTTACAATTTTATTCCATAACACAAAAGTCGTTTATCGCTGCAGCTATGTCTCATGCAGGTATTTTGATGCACTCCTAATACAGGAAGAAAATTACTACAAAATACATATGAATTTAGGAAATCTGATCCACCTTTAAATGTGCGAAATAAATGCTATCAACTAATAGATAATCTTTTGAAAATAAACACATAGACAAAATTCCATGTAACGTATTGTTAGAAATTCAGAATATCTGTGGATTCAAGGGTTATTTTAAATACAATGAAAAGTTCTATGATCGAGTGGAAGGCCACTTTAGCACACGTGATCATGAATGAATTAATAGATTGGATAAAATCACATTATAACTCCAATACAAAAATATTGAAGCACTAGGTGGACATTTTATTATTGATTCATGCATGAATCGGGGTTGTTCTATTGTATATAGTAATAATACTTGTGTATGTGTAGTTTTGAGAGTGATTGTATTTATTAGGGTCGATGGCGGAAAATCAAGTACTCCATGGATTCTCAATTAGGTTAGTTGTATGATATGTGTGAAGGAAGGTATATCGAGTACTCCACGAAGTGCATCTCGAGTCTACCGGCAGTTTGCTATAAATAGCAAAAACTGGAATTGCCTGTGGACTACGAGAAGCGAATAAGCTCAACTCGGCACGTTGTTGAATGTACGTACGTGTGCGGATTTAGCCTATAAATCCAAATCCCAATTCAACTTCTATCCCTTTCTGACTATCTCATTCACTCACCCTCTCTCTTTATTCGTTTATCTATCTATCTAAAAAATAGAATGCAAATTGTATACTTAAATACTGATTTGTTTAAACTAATTGTTGTAACTTCAGGTGTTCCAGAAGGAGGTCATCTATCTTCGCTTCTTCTCAATATTTTTATAAATGATGTCGCAGATGGCTTCGTGAACTGTAAATATAAACCATTTTCTGATGATTAGAACCTCATCAAATCAACATCGTACTGAGATGATCTACAACAAAATTTAAATAATCTAGTCAACTGGACAGCTTTTAACGGAGTATTTTTAGATATAGATAAATGAAAACATATGATTTTTTAAATTAGAACCTACTATCTATAACTACAAGATTAACAACTCTGAACTCGAGATAACTAAATCTATCAAGGACCTAAGAATATTGTTTGATTCACTACTTTTAATGAACATATTGTCATGACGATAAAAAAAACAACGCCTTAACATTGTTTGGCTTCATTAAAAGAAATGCTAGTGAACTCAGCAACATCAGTTGTATAAAAATGTTATATTTTTCTTTTTTTAGATCTATCCTTGAATTCAATTCACCTATCTGGTCACCTTATTATTTAAAATACGTTTGTAAAAAATTAAGAATAGGCTATTAAAATACTTAGCATATAGGTAAGTAATAAAAGCGGAAAATATAAATATGAAGAAGAAATATAAATGTTAATTTATTTTAATATAAATTACTTAATAACCTTATAGATAGCCCTTATTTGTTAAAAAGAGTATTGTTAAATGTTTCTCAAAAATATACCAGAAATGTTGATCTGTTTTTTCTACCATTTTGCAAATCCAATTATTTATATCATGGACCACTCACAAGAGCATGTAGACTCATGAATCATTACGATATAGATTCATTTGTTAATTCATTTAATAGTTTTAAGTACAAATTATTGTTGTCTATTACATATTCTGTAATCTCTGTTTTAGCGAAAGCCGTTAATAAAGCTATTATTATTCTTTTTATTATTATTTATTTATATTTCTCTCTCTTTCTCATTCTCTCACTTTATCTCATTTTCCCTCGCATTCTCTCTCTCTCTCTCTCTCTCTCTCTCTCTCTCTTACACTATCTCTCTCTCTCTCTCTTCTTCTTCTCATTATTTATCTGTCACTCTCTCTTGCCCTCATTATTTCTCTCTCCCTCTCACTATCTCGCTCTCTCTCTCTCTCTCTCTCTCTCACTCGCTCTCTTTCTCTCTCTCTCTCTCTCTTGTATTCTTTCTCTTTCTCTCCCTCTCTCTCCACTCTCCATCTCTCGTTCTCTCCTGCTCGCATCCTTGTTCTCGCACTCTCTCTCTCTCTCTCTCTCTCTCTCTCTCTCTCTCTCTCTCTCTCTCTCTCTCTCTCGCTCTCTTTAACAATTTTAGTTCCATCTTTAGCAGATTTTAATTTTACTTTAAGATATTTAATGGATAGAAAGGGCGTAAATAATTTGGAAGATTGGTTTCATGAATTTATCCGTATTGTTAGTTTGTCGCCGTATTCCTTGAAAGGCCTTCAGTCGAAAAGGAAGATGATAAAATTCCTTTAAAAATAAATGTCTAAATAACACTTTTTATACCTGAGTGAGCTTCATTTGAAACGATAAAGCAATTTAAATCAATTCGATCCATGAATCACTTCAGATAAATTATTTTATCTTGCTTTAGAGATTAAAATTATTCAGGCTTTTTAGTTTCCTGACATCCACCCTTACAAGCAGTACCTAAGTAAGACGTTATTAACCTGTTATTTTCCTAATATTTGTTGTATTATACTTTTTCACATCGGAGACAATTTAAAATTGATTAATTTTCATTTCTCTTCTTCCTGCATTACGTCACCATTCCCGGTAACGTTTCCAGATGGTTTCGGCACTCGTAAGGACAAATCAAATTATATTTCATTAAGTGAATTTCGTAAAGCAAAGAAAATGAGAAGAAACCAACTGGCAGTTAGACTTTAGGCCTTCTTTATAACATGAATTACCTTAATTTACTTTTACACCCTATTTCTATTGATTGAATAAATTAATCTTGATTTTTCTCAGCGTTACAATTTTTGTAGTTTGCAGTGAGAGTTTGAATTGCATCGTTAGAATGCAAATATTTATAATTTGTTGAATTCGTGAGAAGCGGTCAAGAACGAGGTAATTTAGAAAAACACCTTTTTCAATTTTTTGCCGACCTTTCGACCTTTATTCGGGTCATCTTCAGGGACTGGGTAAATTACAAAACATATTGTTGATTGGAAAAAACACAATTTAACATGTAAATATAAATTTTGAACCAAATATTTCATACTCCCATAAAGTGTGGTGCTATTCTTGTGGTGTCATATTGGTTTTGTGTGACAGTGTTGTAAAACATGCACTTGTATTTTGTTGCTTTTATATGATTATGACAGGGTGGGGGCGCGATAAATCTGGGAACATTTCTTTGATCATATAAAGATGATCAATTTTTATTAATCATAAAATAATTTAATTAATAAATCAAGTTTTATTTGACTCAAAGGAAGGCGAGAATGGAGATTTTCTGGCGTTCAATATTGGAAAGGAAGTTAATTATTAAGAACGATAACAAAGGAAAGGGAAAAATAAAATTAAGGTTTAATAGTTTATTTGCTTTATGATGTTGGCGTAACTACGGCTGCGTTTGCATGTATCTATTTTGTAATTAATGCAGTGTGTGTCTCTATTAATGTAAACCATTTCTAGAAAGTTGCGTTTGTTAAGAAAAACCCAAAACAAATACAAACGCAGGACGGACAGAAGGGATATAATTTTTAACGATCCTGACTGTTCTGGGGGTCCATAGCTCCTATCTATTTCTTTCTTCCAAGTCTTCTGCGCAAGTATAATGTCGACTCTCTGCTCGCAAGCGAGCACTCTAGCCATGTCACTAAACATCTTTGAACTGTGGTGGGTCAGCTGAGCAATTTTTAATTTAGTTAGCGATCCTCCTTTATTCTTGGGATCATCGCTTGGTATGGGGGGAGGCTTCTTGGGGTTCTGCGTCCATCTCCTTCGCACACATCAATGGTGCCAGCTGTTGCTTCTAGATGACAATGTTCCGTGTTTTCATCGCATGACGTAACTGAGCCGTAATCGATGGAGCTTTTTATTCTCGCAATTTTTATATTCTCATGCACGTAGCACCTTCGGGAGCCGACTGCATGGTTATTTGGAAGTCCTAGGCACGTGCAATTGGCTCACTTCTTAACAGTCTCTTTGCAATTCCTCATCATGTAGTCCCGTGCAGTTTGCGCATATTAGTTCTTATATAGCGCAGGCCATGGTGATGTGTCCGTATCTCTGACAGGCAAAGCATCGTGTGACTTCTTGGTACTCTTTGATCCAGCATGCTTGGTAGGCCAGATAAAATTTACTTTATCCCAGCACCGTCATCCGTTCACAATCCATGATCCGAAAGGCGAGTACTCAATAGTCCCCCTGCCGTATCGCAAGGTAAAGAGTGGTCTGCCATCCTCCGCCAGGGCGTGCCGACGTCATTGCACTCAACCAGGTCGTTGCCTAAAGGCGATATTTCTTTTGAAACGCGCAATACGAGGAGTCTCGGGGTTCCGCTTCGCCGTGATCGCGCACTCTCACCTGCTTGTTGTAAGATTTGAGTAATCTTGGGCGGCTTCCACTTTAATGGGCTATCCCCTGCACAGTGGTTATTCTGTTATCACCCCTTACTTTGGTTACTTTGGAATTGATGACATTTTTGAAGTTTATATACAATAATAATAATAAGAGCCTTTGTTTGCAACATAAAATAACATTTTTAACAAAAAGTGTTATTAGACATAAAATTAAAAGGAAATTTCAGGTCAAAACCATGACCTATAATAGTAAAGAGAAGTATAAATATAAGCGTCACAAATTCAAAAAGGGAAAAATTGGATAAACCCTCACTGATAAAATTTACAAAAACTTTTGCAGAGTGCTTACAAACATTACAATTTTTTCGTTAACTTAAATTGATCTTCCAAGTCAATTTTGACCTGGATCATTAAAAGTATTTAAAACTGCTCATTTTAGTTACCTATGCAAGAAAAGTATATGCATTTATTTTATTTATTACCTAAGTATTTATTTAACAATAAATAGGTTAGATCTTTAACAAAAAGTATATGCTTCAGCCTTTTATGTCTATATTTCTTATAATTTCAGTCTCTGAGCTCATAATTTAAAATATTTTTTATGTATTCTATTGAACTTTTCTTGTGTTTGGAGAGAAAGCTCAAGGTTTGATTAAAAACATGGGTTGTTATACTGGGAATATGTAATGCGCAATGCATGTCATCTATTCGCGTCCATCTTTTATAGTTACCTATAATCCTTAGCGCTATGTTTTGAACGGTCTGCATATATTTGTAATTGGCAGCACACGTGTTCGACCAGACTGGGGATGCATATGTAACAATAGGCCTTAAATAAAGATTAAAGATGAGCTTTTTATTATTAATCCTTAAGTTCGAAGTTTTATTAAAAATAGGAAACAAGCTTGTATAATCCTTGCAGTTTTCGAACATTTCATAGTAATGTGATAAGTGAAGTAAAGTTTTTAGCCGGATGGACTCCCAGATATTTGGCATTCTTGCCCAGGGTAGGGGATTGCTATTGATTTTAACAAAATTATTATTATCATAATGCTTCTGGTAAAAAGTATAGCTTCGGTTTTAACTTTATTTCGACGGATTATCCATTTATTAAAATAATTGAAACATTTACTTGCTGCTTCACTAAAATCTTTAGCTATAGTGTCAATTCTGTAGGAGGATTTCGTATCATCAGCGAATAATGCAAGTTCAACTGTATTTTTAGTTAATCTTTATGTAAGGTATTGGTTGAAATGAAAATGTTAACGTCACGAGCGAGATTCGAACCCACGACCTTCGGCTAAATACGCCGCTGCTCTACCACTTGAGCTATCGTGACTTCGATCCACTTGGACACCAACTTCCTATCTCAACCTACCTTTCGAGTTTTCCCTCCTTTATTTTTAATTTTATAAATGTCCGCAATGAATAAGTTAAAAAGTGTAGGGCCGAGGACGGAACCTTGTGGAACACCAGCTGTAATTTTTTTCATACATGAATTTTATTGATCGACGTCGACATAAAAATACCTATTTGTTACATAGTTGCCTATGAGATATATGAGATATTTAGAAAAGCCTTTTAGTTGTAATTTGTAGAGTAGCCCCCTGTGCCAAACGCTGTCAAAAGCTTTTTCAACATCAATCGGGACTATAACAAAGTGTTTGTTCTTATTAAAGCTGTCAAAGATCATGTCAGTGATTTTCTAAGTGTAAAACTGTATAATGGTTTTGCCTGAAGTCAAAGCAGGGAGTAAAATGTTGTTTGCATTTAAAAATTGCAAAAGTCAAGTTAGCATTATTTTTCCGGCTATCTTCGAAAGAATATTTAGCAATGAGATTAGACGGGAATTAGACGAATTAGTATGATCTTTCCCTAGTTTGGGAATGCAATAACTTTAGTTAGCCGTGTGTGCAAGCATAAACATATGGTTTAACATAATAGTTAAGTATAAGATGGCTTTTCTGGGAAGATTTTTAATTGCGATAAGCATAATTGCATCTTCCCCAGGAGGTTTAATAATTTTTAATTTGTTCATGACAAGTCTGATTCCCTGATTGATGTCAGCTGGCAGTTTGTAGATTTATAATCTGGGGTCGGCTATATTCTTTGATTTCTCGAAGTACCTTTTTTGTGAAGGAGCCTAACCTTTCATTCATTCACTTGTTCAAAGTTATTTGCTAGCAAATTTGCTTTTTCATGTGGTTCGTATATAAAAAGGTTAGGTGAAGAATTGGTATTATCACTGGGCGCTAGGGGAGGACAAGGTTTCTCCTGATAGTTTTTATTGTTTTATATAGTTTGCTATCACCGGACTTGAATTTTGAGAGTTCATTTTCGCATAAATTCTTTCGATGAAATGCAAGCAG